CTTGGCTTACTGATTAGTTATCAATTAAAGAAGCGTGGCCAATCAAAGCGTCGAATGGTGGGGCGTGCGTGGGGGAACTATAACATCAGCGTATTAGTGAGTGCGACATTCCCTCATCGACCGGTTCTCACAACTCAGCTTCCATCGATAATGAGGAGACGGGAGGAGACTAACTCGTGCTCCGCCGCATATTGACATATTAAGGTACTTCCGCAGTAACTATTAATGTGAAATTTCGTATTTTTTCAATGTTTGATGATGCATATCTCAGAAATGGTGTGGTCAGAGTCCTTGAAATTTTGGTAATGGTTATTTGGCATACCTAACAACATATAATCCAAATTTCAGCCCGTTAAACGATTGGGAAATATTTCACATCAATAGTTACTTCGGAAGTACCTTAAGTGTAATGGAACTACTTTAATGAAAGAAATGAATATCGCCGAAACCATATCCAATCGATTACACCCAGCTATAACACCGGATTCTAAAAAGCATGAATTGAGAAAAAAACTTTTTTGGAAACTTGGTTTATATTTTGGAAATTAAGGGACCGAATNAAAAAACTTTTTTGGAAACTTGGTCTATATTTTGGAAATTAAGGGACCGAATGAACTGTCATTTGGCACAAAAATGTAACCAAACCATGCCAGTTATTACACAATATTTCAGTTCTTCAGCTACAACTGCATCCTTTTTTGTATGAATATTTATAACAAAGTTTCCAAAAATCCGCCCATTATTATGCACACACGAATCGAAATTGTCTAAAAACATCATATCTCGACGTTTCGTGACATTGTACATCATTACCAGGGGAAATTAGAGAGCCGTAAAATAGAGAAATTATAAAGCCCCCTTTCGGAAGCAAGAAATGAAAAAACAAATCGATACCTTCCCCCTCAATTGTGATAGAGGGATGAAAGTGATTAGAAATCGATTGGGCATTGGATTCCGCATCAATCTATAACAATTTCTCCTCTACATCTTCATGAAACAAGTGGTCATTCCATTAACTTATTCTCAGTATAGTAGTTTCTGCTAATAAATTAGAAATTTGCTTCCACATGGATAAATTTTATTTTGAAGATTAATTTTGCATCATTGAAACATATTTTTTGGAATTTCATTGGATAGATTTGAAGAGTTATTCTTTAAGTGATTAAAAAAATGGAATTTAATGGATTGGTAATCGAGAAAATGGACAACAAAAAGAATTAGTAACGCACATATAGACCGACATACATACATACATACATACATACATATACAGACATGATATAAACCCCGATTAAACTCCGAGTTTTCATGAAAAAATTTCCACGGAATCAAGCTGTCACTCAAAAACTAATGATGCAATTGCCCCCATCTTCGAACTCGGTCAATATATTATTGATACATTTTTTTGAGCCTTCATTTAAGCGATTTCGATAATTATTTGATGGCTATTTCTCGAAAAATCGGTGAAAAAATATCGAAAAATGGGAATATCTCGTAAACTATAGCATCAATTCAATTCTGAAAGGGGCCAATCGATAGCTGTTATTGAATCCTGCATTTAAGAAAAAAACATAGAATTTCATAGAGTTGTCATTGAGAAAATCGAAATTCAAAAAACAGAATTTCTAACGCACATATATGTATATATTTGTCCGTCCGCATGAAAAGGGCCCACTTTGTCGTATCTAGTTTTCGAGATAAACGCGTTTTTTTTTGTTGACAATTCCCATTCAAGCCAATGTTAAATTTTTTTTTTGATCTTTGATGGAGGCATCATTGTTCATGCAATTTCGAGAGCTCAAATTGTGCGGCATCATGCCCAAATTACTTCAGTATACATAACTCCGATAGTGCCAAAGTGGGCCCTTTTCATGTGGACATCCACATATATCTTTATACGGACATGGCCCCAATTGAATTCAGACTAGACACCTATTGAGCCCCGAATGAGCCCCACTTGAATTCCGGTTAAACCCCGACTAAGCCCCAACTAACCCCTCAATTACGGGGTCCATTTCGTATATGGACCCTCTTCAAATGTCAATATCTTCTACAATTTTGAAGATATTTCCATTTTGCCAATGGCTCTGCATTGGTAAATAGTTTAGCTTCGATATGTCACCTTTGAACAAAAATAAAAATTCAATTCTAACTATTTAAAATCACGTAAATGAATTCTGTTTTCTTTCTCGTTCAATGCAAATTTTCAAAGGTCTCGTTTATCGAGGACATTTTCATTAAAAAATCTGAAAAAATTCAACAATATAGCTCAAACCTTCCTTTAATAGGTTCCGCATGATTATTTTGGTCACGGCATTTCACTTCGTAATTTTTCTTCGATCAGTTTGAAAGACATGACCGAAAAAACTCCCGAGTTCACGTGTCAGGGACCGCCCGGCCGCTCGGACAGTTTGCGTCGCCGAGGCCCCGTACTTGAGGGGCTAAGTACCGACTTAACCCCAATGAGTAGCATTCAGCAGAAAAATCTATCAAATCAGGATGTCACCCAAGAACGAATAATGCTATTGCCCCCATCTTCGAACTCGGTTGATATACCATCGATACAATTTTTTGAGCCCTCATTTAATCAATTCAAATGATTATTTTTTGACTAATCGTCGAAAGAAAAAAATTAGAAAGATGTTAATACCTCAGAAACAATGCGATCGATTGAGTTCCGGAAGTGGTCAATCGATAGATCTTATTAAGGCCTCTATTTGAAAAAAAATGAAATTTCATCGATTGGTTATCGAGAAAAGCAAAAATGATGAACATTCACACACATGCATACGTGCATACATACATACATACGGACACGCTCTAAAAATACCATATTCGGACTCCTGGGACCAAACTCAGTCACCCTAGCACAGAAAATCGAAAACTTGAAATCAAAAGATTACATAGCCTCCCTTCGGAACCAAAAAAAATCATAAGTCTCTCCCAATTTTGATTCATAAATGAAACTAACTGCAATCGATTGGGAATGAAATCCACGATCGATTGTCGTTCATCTCATCCTTCCATCCCAATTGGGAGGGGAGATATGAATCTTTAACTTGGAAGAGTATTGTCAAGGTCAGGGGGCGCTTGAGAATCGAATGGTGTTCACACCGTGGTGACTTATATCAGGACTTATCGGGCCCCCCGAAAAAGATGGAGGAATGAAGCATGTGTCAATCGTTTGACGATTCCTCAATTTATTGCCATTGTTTTCATCTCTTCATGTCAATTACGAGAGAAGATCTGAATTGTTTTCACTTAGGTGAGTATTTTCGTGATCATTCGGTGCTTGAAATCTTGCATTCAACTGTTCACGCACCAGGGTGACTTTCATCGCGATTTTTCAACTTCCCGGGCTAGGGAAGTTATTGTAATCACCCCGAAAATAAACTTAGAACTGATTAAATTTTGGATGAAATCGATCCAGCGGTTTCCATTTCTTTCAAAAAATTTTGAAGGAGGAGAATCGCAAAAAGTGTTAATCAATGATGTTTCATGAACGAATGTTCCGATTTAACTTTTTTCTTTTCCAATCAATGTGTCTTCATGTAATCCAGAGGGTCAAGTTCCGTTCCGAGGGTCAAGTATTGTAGGAATCGGCTAAACATCCTCAAGGATATCCATGGTTTGTGGACGATTTATCTCACGAGAAATCTTCTCATGGTTTTAGCGCATAGGTCTTTTTTTAAAGCTCAATGTTATATTAATTTTCCGAGTTTGTTGTTGAGATGAATTTGGAAATATGAAATCTAACTATACGTTGCGTCCATAACAGCTGCGTACTCAGACCTTCAATTCAATAATTCGTAGTCTTGAAAGATTTTTTCGTAAAGACAACCCTCTATAGTTTTGTTTTCGTGTCGCATGACCTGAAAACCCGTTATCATTAAATTGACGTTTCCCAGGCCCCAGGTCACGAAGAATAATGGTCACGCCTCGCCCTGGAAAACATACCACCCTCCCCCACGTTCTTGCTATCCGCGCCTTGTACTATTCTAGCGGTCTATTTTTATTTTTACTGAAAAATTACAAATAATCCAATTGGAAACCTCCTGATCCGGACGGTGACCATGATTATGGATACTCGAGGTTAGAATGACGTGAGTCATCAAGCCACAGATTTAAAGAACAAAAAATAATATTTAACTTGATAAATTTCAAAAAAAAAAATTAATACATACAAAATCGTCGAAAATCTGGTGATGGCAAAAATTTGGACAAAAAAGGAACAGTTAGAACAAAAAACCGTTTGTCATCTGAAACCGACCAGTAGACATCATTACGAGAATTTTTACTAACCAATTATGAACAAACTGCTAATTTCTCCCACTTGTAGAGCTCTTCTGATTTCCAATCTATAGTTTTAATCATATATCATTCAAATTTCTCTTGGAATGACGTAATATTTGGCATTATTCTCTGCTTTCCTTTCAGATGAATGCACTAGGAGTTCCTTACACCCGATCGATCCATATCTCTACTGGTTTCATGCGCTGTCACTTTCTGCTTTTAATTTTTTTTTTTACTTATTCTTTCTGCTTTTAATTCATTTCCTTTTTTTTACCAACAAAGTCCATTCCATTATGGTAAATAAATTGTTACTACTATTACTACTATACTACCTCCACTATTATTGTTATTACTACTTCTGCTATTATACTACTATTACTAATGTACAAGGCCGAAAGGTCATATCTGGGGTCAATAAAATAAAAAATATACTATACTATTACTACTGCTTTTTCGCTACTTAGGGTCAGATTACAGAAAAATTCCATTTCTTTTCGGTAATCGTGATCCATAATGTCAGTGTGGGAAAGTTTACGTGTTGGTCACGTCATTTTCACATCCAATCGCGGGCAATATCTCTGACAACAGATTAATCCCACCAGGCCCCACGATTACCGCAGTGAAACGTAATTTCTCCTGATTATAGTTACAGGTTAAGTATACAACTCGGGGCGGAAATTTTTTTATATTGGATAAGGAGTTCCACTTGAAGGCTTGCGAAGCTTCTACCCTTGGCGCAGTGATAAAAAACTTGGCTATCGCATTGATGGGGCCGGAGAAGGTGCTTGAGGCCAAGTTTAGAGGCAATTCATCAGTAGAGGGAGACGAATCTACTACTGATACAACACGTATCACAGCTGAGTTTGTTGCGGACGTTATACGTATGTATCTCTATTAATGGTCATCAGAATTAAATTAACCAGTTAATTTGTTATTTTCTCAATTCATTTCTTCAGTTCTTACCAGACTGGCGATACGGAGAATTGATATATATTCCAAGCAACACATCCTGAAGATCATGCGAAAGGAGGAGAATGATAAAGTTAAACTCCGTAATCAGACAAATATTGATGTAATACCAACGGGTTCTGCAGGACTGAGCCTTGTAGAGAGGAAGAAGTTTTTGTCGGACCAGCTCATATCGGAGCAAGTGACGACTCTCATTTCCAACGGATTTTGCAATCTACGCAAATTATAAACATCAGAACTACTCATCATCAGCAGCAGCCCCCCCCCCTCCTGTCAAAAAACAGAATATTCCCATTGATAATGCAGGTTATTTATCTCGAACCCCTTCGCCCTCTCCCCCTCGCGCCAGCCGTTTCAAAACCCATGAAAAAACAAGGATAAGTAATGTGTGAACGTAACAAATGGATCAGCATCTCCTTCTCGATCTCCAAGACAACTTCGGCTAGTGCCTGTTTTTACTGCTCCAGAGTCGACCCAAAATATTTTATTTGTTTCCCAAGACATTGTGTTTGTAATTCTGTTTTTGAGAGCCTAGCTGTAATTTTATGTCACGTTTTGCGATCCCTAGCTCCTTTATTGCCTTTCATTTTGACTCTTCTAGTTCTTTTCGCAATCTGGGGGATGGAGATGATATGGAATTGGGTGAAACGAGGATTTTAATGAACAAAATGATTTGTTTTTGGGTTATTTTGTAGAGAAAAGTTTCAACGTAAAAATTAGAATTTTATATTTTTGTTATTCGTGGATTGATCTGGGAAACGAGTGGTTTTACGACAACAATGGCAAAAAACCTTTTTTGAAGAGAATTGAATTCCCCACAGAAAATTTCTTTTGACATTTTCCCTTAAAACTCCTCGTTACAAAGATAATTCAATAATTATCAAGATGAGAACAATACAATAGTAACGTTCAGTAAAATTAGATATTTTTTTAAATAGTGGATTTATCTAGTCAACGAGTGATTTCAGAAAAAAATGTTAAAAGATCTTTTTTGTAGCTGACAAAATTCTCCACAAAAAACGTCTGTTTGGTGAGGAACTAGTTTAGGGTGGATGTGGGATGAAAATGTGGAGGGAGATGTTGGGAAAATTATTTTAGGCGTTTTGGAAAATTATCAATATATTTGGCGTGGGATCGAACCACTTATCACAAATTCGGTACACTCTTTGGTTTCAATTATTGGTGAATGTCTAAATTTCACTGATATTGTCTTTTTCACCTTATCTCGTTGAGTCACTGAATTACTGAACTGAATTAACAAGTTGATGTACTGAACAAAATTATTAAATTTATAATACTGTTTGACTGAACACTTTAGACCATTATCGTAACGATACTTCTACACTACTACTCACTGACTCTTCCGGGTGCCGCGCTGACCTCTGTCCGTTGACCCGAAAGTTCACGGGGATTTTCGGAGATGGCCGAGTTAGTCGACCGTAACCATTTTGGAGATTTAGGCTGTATTTCGAAGAACGTCTTTTGACATTTCCTCCTGAATCGACTCCTCATCGAGATAATTCAAGACCGATGAACAAAAAAATATACAAAGATAATAATGATATTCATTACTAATATTATCGAAATTAGTAGAATTATCAACAATAATTTAGATTAGTATTTCACTCCACTTCCTCGCCCTCCCGCCCCCTCCCGCCCCCTACCGCTCCAAAAATGAAAGGAAAAAAGTTCACAATAAATAATAATGTTATCGATAAATCATTATCAATGAATTGTATTTTTATTTTCATCCCCTCAATCCCCCTCCCGCCAAATTATTATATTCAAGTACATCCCCTCCCCCCGCCGCCGCAGCCCATCACTCCCCAGAAACTGAAGCAATAAAAAGAATAATAAATATTATTACTATTTCTCCCCTCTTGCCCTTTTCGCCAAAGCCGCAGCGGTATTTATCTGAAAAATTGACATATCATGCGTCATCCTATTTTACCCACTGAGTCACAAACTAATCGTATTTCGGTGCCATCGCTAACAGAGGTCGCCCGGTCAACAGGGACAATGTCGATAATGAAGTGAGCGAAATGCCATCATTCATTACATTATTCATCAGTTAATTAAATCGACAAAAAATGAACTAAAGGGTGATGATTGACATACATTGTTCATCTTTTAACATTTAAATATTATTTTTGAAGCTTCATTTCACCAATTTTCACGTTTTCTGGGCCTCGGAAAACAACCTCGCAACAACCCCGCAAGGACGGGGTTCCTTACTCGCCAGGGATCCTGATTGTATTCCAAACGCTCACGATGATCACGTGTCACATCGTGCGCCTTGATTAACTCCTGATGTGAGCCAGAGACACTTCCATTGACGCCGTTACGATTATACAGGATTGCAAGTTTCACCATATTGTCCACTACATTCTCCAATAGCTTTCCCTTTTCATTCAAAAAATAACAACATAATACATTACATTTGGCAATTAGTTTTTAATAATTAGATAGCAAAATTTTCATAGAGAACCTTTTTGCTAAGTCTTTACAAGAAATCAAAACACGAAAAAACGAGCGAAAATATTTTTTAATTAGTTTAAGTGCTCCGACATTCATCAAAAATTTTTATACTCACTAGATAACTATCAAGAGCAAGTTATACTGTCATATACCACGAAGACTGTGTATTTAAAATATGGAATCATTTTGTAAAAAAAAAATATGTCATCTGTTTTTCTAGGTCTATCAGAGGTTTTTTAAGCTCGACGAGGCTTTGTNATTATCAACAATAATTTAGATTAGTATTTCACTCCACTTCCTCGCCCTCCCGCCCCCTCCCGCCCCCTACCGCTCCAAAAATGAAAGGAAAAAAGTTCACAATAAATAATAATGTTATCGATAAATCATTATCAATGAATTGTATTTTTATTTTCATCCCCTCAATCCCCCTCCCGCCAAATTATTATATTCAAGTACATCCCCTCCCCCCGCCGCCGCAGCCCATCACTCCCCAGAAACTGAAGCAATAAAAAGAATAATAAATATTATTACTATTTCTCCCCTCTTGCCCTTTTCGCCAAAGCCGCAGCGGTATTTATCTGAAAAATTGACATATCATGCGTCATCCTATTTTACCCACTGAGTCACAAACTAATCGTATTTCGGTGCCATCGCTAACAGAGGTCGCCCGGTCAACAGGGACAATGTCGATAATGAAGTGAGCGAAATGCCATCATTCATTACATTATTCATCAGTTAATTNCAGGGACAATGTCGATAATGAAGTGAGCGAAATGCCATCATTCATTACATTATTACATTATCAGTTAATTAAATCGACAAAAAATGAAGTAAAGGGTGATGATTGACATACATTGTTAATCTTTTAACATTTAAATATTATTTTTGAAGCTTCATTTCACCAATTTTCACGTTTTCTGGGCCTCGGAAAACAACCTCGCAACAACCCCGCAAGGACGGGGTTCCTTACTCGCCAGGGATCCTGATTGTATTCCAAACGCTCACGATGATCACGTGTCACATCGTGCGCCTTGATTAACTCCTGATGTGAGCCAGAGACACTTCCATTGACGCCGTTACGATTATACAGGATTGCAAGTTTCACCATATTGTCCACTACATTCTCCAATAGCTTTCCCTTTTCATTCAAAAAATAACAACATAATACATTACATTTGGCAATTAGTTTTTAATAATTAGATAGCAAAATTTTCATAGAGAACCTTTTTGCTAAGTCTTTACAAGAAATCAAAACACGAAAAAACGAGCGAAAATATTTTTTAATTAGTTTAAGTGCTCCGACATTCATCAAAAATTTTTATACTCACTAGATAACTATCAAGAGCAAGTTATACTGTCATATACCACGAAGACTGTGTATTTAAAATATGGAATCATTTTGTAAAAAAAAAATATGTCATCTGTTTTTCTAGGTCTATCAGAGGTTTTTTAAGCTCGACGAGGCTTTGTAGCTGGTCCAATTCAACGAGCCTCGCCTTTCAATTCAGGCGCAGATAAGCGAGAATGATGATGATTTGATAAGATGAAATTTTCCTTTATATCAAATAGATCAGTTTTCGAGGAATATCCCCATTACATTCTTATGTATTCAATAATCAATATCCAATAATAGATAGTTAATAATCAAGCATTCATAAATCAAAGTATCGTTGCTTTCCCAAGAGGGTATAATGTCCATTAGAACCATAACTCCATGGAAGCACGGGTGTAAGGTTTATTATGTTTGCTGGGATGCCCGATTATCATCAGCTCATCTCATTTTTTTGCCTTAGTATTTATTGAGTTCATACAAAAATCTGTTACAAATTTGACGTAATCTTTTGCTTTCGAATGGCAGCTTTATATTCTATCAATTTTGATTTTCCAATTATGCTATTGGAAATGATTGCAAATATCCTGAAACGTCCAGATCTGATGTTTTAACAAAATGTTTGCCTGGACTCATTTATGTCTGTGCAATTTTTGAGTTAATTTTCATATATCACTACAATACAAGGGGTGAAGTTATACATAAATATCTGACATTTTAACTCAAAGTAGCTATTTCTCATGCGCAAATTTGGTAAATGTATCGAGAACGATTCAATGATTGGAATTTTTTTTCAGAATACTCGTCACAAAAATATTTATCGATTTCAATCAACATGTATATATCAATCATGCGCAGATCATTAGTCATGGTCATTTTTGTTAATTTTTTTTTAGACACACACACACGCTGCCAGCGTAATGATTTGTAAAATTTCAAGGCATTCACACGCAATATTCAACACTTGAATACCAATATATGAATTAAAAAGAAAAATCATAAAAAATCGCTTCATCTCATCAACCATTGAACTGATCAAGTTGAAATTGTACCTCAAAGTGGAACTCACTTGTAGCCAATGTTTACCATATTCCCCGAGATCTTTGACCGTGTTCGAATAAGTAAAACGGAATTTTGAAAAAGAAACATAAAAATCGTAACATCTGAAAAACTTGGAATGCAGAGCCTGAAACTTGATTCACGAGTATTTTTGAAAAAAAATTGAAATCGGTTGAGCAGTTTTTGAGATTCTTAATAACATTGTTATAAATTCAAAGTTGAATCGCTCCGAAGCAAGTTTGAATTCCCTATATCGATTTTTGAGGTATCGCGCGAGGACGGACTTTGAGGAAGAAACATATACATATTTCGATCGATCCGGATAAAACACGTCAAGAATGTATTTTGTATTGTATATGTATTTTGAATAGAAAAATTGAATCGGGTGAGAATGGTTCTTCAGATAACAAAAAAATTGAAATTCAGATAAACTGCAATATCTCCGGAACCACTGAGCCACTCAGGTTGAAATTGCTCCCAAAATTGACGCCTGAAAAATATATTTTTAGAGCGTAAGTTTCAGATTTTTCCCTACAACTGTACCCCTCTCATCGTAATAATTTTAAAAAATTTGATCGCATGCATATATGACCACATGCGAATATATTTTCGAAACTTTGTATTTTTGCTTCCGGATGGAAGCATTGTAATCGTCAAAATTTAAGTTTCCAATTTTTTTTGTGGGAGTGACTAAATATGGTCTAATTAGTCGAAAAATTTAATTTCTAGACCATGTCCGTATGTATGTATGAATGTATGTATGTATGTATGCGATCGGTCCTTCGAAAGGTTTCATCGACAATTTCCCCATGACAAATGTAGCGAATTCCATTTTTTTTACTAAATGTACACATTCATAAGTGCTATTGAATGACACCAATTGAAACTTGATCCATAATGTAGGTTTTAAAAAATTGATTTTTTTTTCAAAATCGATTTTTTGACGATGCCTCAAAATTTTACCATTTTAATAGATTGAATAACGCATTAAAATATTCCTTTCAATGCCCTCTTCACCGAGTTCGAATATCATGGGATCAGCATAATTCGTTCTTGAATTATTCAGTTATAGCTTCAAATAAATCGCAAAAAAATCATCAGTATGGGGGCTTGATTGGAGTATAATGACGGCTTGGTTGGGATTTAATCGGCATTTAGTTAGGATTTAATCGGGACTTAGTCGGGGCTTAATCAAGGCTTAGTCGGACTTTAATCGGAACTTAATCCGTTCAAGTTGAAAAAAAAACTATAAGTGAATTTTATCTAATAAAATAGTCATAATAGTTTATCTATCGACTGATTATAAATGCACAACAATATTATATATATTAATGATAATGGCTCATAATTGATGACCAATTGGATAAATTCCTTCAAAATGTTGATATTTAAATAATAATATTCCAAACATTAAATAGAAATCGCTCATTTACTTCCAAACAGGTCCATCCGGAAGCAAATTGCTAATTTATTACCAAAGACAACTATGTTAAGTTGCAAACAATGTAATGGCCCACTTGTTTACGCTTCAGAACCTTCGACATCATATCCTGTCAAAAATAGATAATCTGAAAATCAAACGACTGCAATGTTTCCGTTCGGAAGCAAAAGCAAAACGTGCAAAAATCAATTGAGTGTGAAGACAAACATAATTGTAGTCATGAATTTTTTCTGCTTCTTCCAATAGATGGACAATATGATGAAGGCTCAGAGTGTTTTTTGTGTTATCTATAAGAATCACCAAAAACCCTTGACATTTGTGCATTAGAACAATGATATCACAACGATGATCGTGGTCATTGCACAAGACGTGTCAAAGAGAGGGAATTACAAAACATAATACAAACAAGTTCGTCATGTCATTTGGTTTCGAGCGATGGTGATGTCCTCGATGCAGTCGGCATCTTGAAGTACTCAGGTCAGTTATGGAATAGGAATAGAAAATAGTAGTTTTTGACACTCAACGTGTAAGGAACTGTTTTACGCACCATCTGAAACGTGCCTCACGCATATAAAAGGATATCAAATGATAATCTTGAAATAACTGTGACGGAAAAACCTCAGGTATTACTTATATCATATTGAAAAATGCTCTTTCCCAGGCAACAGAGAAGAGATGGAAATTCTCACAAAAGCACCAGATTACGCTAGCCAATACGAAAAAGTTCAGCACCCATTAAAGGAAAAATCGATGTCATTCCTGAAGAGAAAACCAAGATGCCTAAGCAAAGCAAAACGACAGCACAACCTCGTCCTCGACGTGTATGTATACCATTTAGTAATGATTAACTATTCATAAAGTTGTATTGCCGAGTGTCCCACTAAATTGACATTAAGCATATGACTAATGACTCGCATGATTACACCAGATTCGCATTATTGCATGCTAAAACCAAAAGCTAATTCTTGAAAAAACGCATCTAAACACAAATTTTCCATTGGTTATCGGCATGAACCGATTTCCTTTTATTAATGGTGATTTCCAATTCTTCCCACTTGAACCGGAAATGAAGCATATGCTATTACGATTCATCATAAGTCATAAATAGGGGAAAGTAGGGCAAAATGAGACGTTTGTCATCGACTCGAATTCCCAATATCTTTGTTTATAAATGGAGGTATTGAAAATTTAAGTCGATAACAAACGTCCCATTTTGCCTCACCCTCTCCTATAATTATATTGAACACTTTTATATTTGGTTCATTTCTTGAAATCCCGCACGCAAAATTCGTATAAAATGTTTATTCCTCGGTTTCTGGATCATTGATGTATAAAAACAAGTTCTCATCACTATGTTAGACGGGGGTCTGCTTCGTCAATCGATGAGAGTGCGCATGATTATACCAGTTCACCTTGAAATAGTTTAATTGAATTCAACGTAACTGACTATGTGAACAGATATACCGAAAATATTGGAAATACAATCACCTGATGTATAGAAGTTGATGCCTACTCTACTGAATAATTGAATTTATGAAATTGCAGGAAAGCGCAATAACTGCGCAAGTGGTGAAAAGCACAGATGATGAGGTCATGGCAGCTGGATATGTGAGTATTTGCGTGCGCCCATATAATATGTATATCTTGAATATGGCACTTCACTTGAATTTTCTCAATGACGCGTCTATTACTAATCATAAACTCTCCATATTTGATATTCATTGATTCTACCTTTTCCGAATCCTGCTGACTTATGATTAACCCAATGTTCAGAATCCAAAAGTGCCAACTGCTCTACCTCACAAAGAATGTAAGAAGAGCAACAGTCGAAATCCTCCTGCCGATCAATCAGATGTCGAGGATGAATTGGAGGACCATGGTAGGGATGTTTACAATAATACTATATAATTATTCTTGTACGTAATAGGTTGCCGATTTAAACTCTGTCTTCTTTCCATGATAGCAAATCAATTAATGCTCAATGTAAAAAATATTAATCGTTCGACGTGTTACGTCATAACGACGTACAAAAATTATTATTAATTCCAACTTTTGGAAATAATAATAATTTCGGAATGAAGAACAAATATCATATTTAAATACCAATGGAATCATACGATTCCAATGGTACATAAACCGATCGTCTTACATCCGGTAAGATGATGGAAAAATTAATTTGAGATGTGATTCATACCACACGGGTGGTATAAACCCGCGTTGCCGAGGGCCTTATCGCCCTGGTTTCGGGTTGCTGTTGCGAGGCAGTCCACCTCGTAACAGTCCCACTATTGTCTAATACCTCCCTCCCCTCACCTCGCTCTTCACACCTAACTACGCATCTTATTTTTCCCTCCTCCCCGCGCTCCTCTCGCCGCGAAACGGTTCACGCACGCTTGTTCCCCTATTCCCTCTTCTCCGCGCCCCTCTTACCAACAAACGCGACCACGCTGGCTAAACCAATTGTCCCCCCTCCCTTAATAAGACGCGTGTCTCCTCAAACTACCTACCCCCTCTCTCTACAGAGTGCACTCGGCACTCATCCACATCTTATTCCCCACCCCCATACAATTAAAAATTCGTGTATGCATTTACATACACGAATTAATATTGAACGCAAAAAGGGCATCGCCCAAGCGGTCAGTCAATCGGTCAGTCAGTCGTGTCGTGATTCCACTCAGGAAAGGAATACATCCGAGTAACCCAAAGGATAATAGAAGCAAGAAGGAATAACAATATAGAAGCAAAGGAATAACAATAAAGGAGCAAAAGGAATAACAATAAAGGAGCAAAGGGAAAACATAATAACGGAAGGTGAAATTGAAATTATTATTTTCGCGAGTGTTTCCAAAATTCATAAATTTTGCAATTGAAATTTAAATTAAATTATTTTCGCGAGTGTTTCCAAAATTCATACATTTATCGATTGAAATTTAATCTAACTTATTATTCTCGCGAGTGTTTCCGAAATTTACAAATTTAATTTTGCGATTGAAATTTTAAATTGAAATTAGTATTTTCGCGAGTGTTTCCAAAATTCATAAATTTTGCAATTGAAAATTTAAATTAATTTATTATCTTCGCGAGTGTTTCCGAAAATTACAAATTTAATTTCGCGATTGAAATTGTAAATTAAAATTATAATTTTCGCGAGTGTTTCCGAAATTTACGAATTTAATTTTTGTGATTAAATTTAAATTGGAAATATTATCTTCCCGAGTGTTTCCGAAATTCATGAATAAAATTTTTCGATTGAAATTTAAATTTGAAATATTATTTTCGCGAGTGTTTCTGAGATTTACAAATTTAATTTTGCGATTGAATTTTTAAATTAACTTATTCCGAAGTTTACAAATTTAATTTTTCGATTGAAATTTAATTTAATTTTTATTTTCGTGAGTTTTTCCCGAAAATTTACAAATTAATTTTGCGATTAAAAATTTAATTTTGAATTATTATTTCGTGAGTGTTTCCAAAATTTACAAATTAATTTTTGCGATTAAAAATTAAAATTGAAACATTATTTCGTGAGTGTTTTGCCGAAAATTTATAAATTAATTTTTGTGATTAAATATAAATATGAAATATTACTTCTTGAGTGTTTCCGAAATTTACGAATTAATTTTTGCGATTAAACATTCAATTTTGAAGTATTATTTCGCGAGTGTTCCGAAAATTTACAAATTAATTTTTGCGATTAAAAATTTAATTTCGAAATATTATTTTCGTGAGTATTTTCCCGAAAATTTACAAATTAATTTTGCGATTAAAAGTTTAATTTTGAAATAATATTTTGTGAGTATTTTTCCGAAATCTATGAATTAATTTTTGGCGATTGAAAATTTAATTTTTGAAATATTATTTCGTTTGTGTTTTCCGAAATCTATGAATTAATTTTTGCGATTGAAAATTTGATTTTGAAATATTATTTCGTGAGTGTTTTCCCGAAAATATACAAATTAATTTTGCGACTAAAAATTTAATTTTGAAATATTATTTCGTGAGTGTTTTCCCGAAAATATACAAATTAATTTTGCGACTAAAAATTTAATTTTGAAATATTATTTCGTGAGTGTTTTTCCGAAAATTTACAAATTAATTTTGCGATTAGAAAATTAATTTTGAAATATTATTTCGTGAGTATTTTCCCGAAATCTATGAATTAATTTTTGCGATTAAAAATTTAATTTTGAAATATTATTTCCGTGAGTGTTTTCCGAAAATTCATGAATTAAATTTTGCGATTAGAATTTTAATTTGAAATATTATTTTCGCGAGTGTTTCCGAAAATTTACGATTTAATTTTTGCGATTAAAAATTTAAATTTGAAATATTATTTTCGTGAGTGTTTTTCCGAAATTTCACGAATTCAATTTTGTGATTAAATTCAAATTTTGAAATATTATTTTGGGAATATTTCCCGAAAAATTACAAATCAAATTTGTGATTAAAATTCAAATTTTGAAATATTATTTTGGGAATATTTCCCGAAAAATTACAAATCAAATTTGTGATTAAAATTCAAATTTTGAAATATTATTTTGCGAACATTTCCCGAACAATTACAAATCGAATTGTGATTAAAATTCAAATTTTTGAAATATTATTTTGCGAATGTTTTCCCGAAAAATTACAAATCAAATTTTGTGATTACAATTGAATTTGAAAATATTATTTTTGTGATTAAAATTCAATTTTGAATTATTATTTTTGTGATTAAAATTCAATTTTAAAATATTATTTTTGCAAATATTTTCCGTAAATTACATAATCAAATTTTGTGATTAATTTCGATTTATCAGAATTTATATTTTTTTTTTGCAAATAAAATCCGAAATTTCCGCATTAGATTTTTCGCGATAAATTCCAATATTCTGGAACTAAAATTTACTAATCAATTGAAATTTCCCTTATTTAAATTCGGGGATAAATTCCGAAATTCTTACATTTAAATTTTATAAATCAAAAATCTAAATTCTCATTTTTAATTTCGGAAATATTTTCCACATTTTCCCACCATTAAATTTTTGTTAAATTCACCATTTCCCTGTTCTAAATTCGGGAATATTTTCCACATTTTCCAATATTAAATTTCTGTTAAATTCACCATTTTTCCTGTTCTAAATTCGGGAATATTTTCCACATTTTGCACCATTAAATTTCTGTTAAATTCACCATTTGTCCTGTTCTAAATTCGGGAATATTTTCCACATTTTCCACCATTAAATTTCTGTTAAATTCACCTTTTTTCCTGTTCTAAATTCGGGAATATTTTCCACATTTCCACCATTAAATTGGATTTTAACCTTAAAAGGTTCATACTCCGAATTTTTGCGAACTAGAAATTCAATTATTTTAATTTCACTTCAATGTCGTCATAAAAAAAAAGGGAACCTTCTTTCACAAATAAAAAGGTTCGATTACCTTCAAGTATTTAAATATTAAAATTCTTTGGAACACCTCCGTGGAACAAATTCCATTCCTTCCGGTTTCTTCATTTAATAAAATCTTACCCCCTTCAAGTCACCATCGTCTTAAGGAGCATCATCCGAAGATCCTCAGTAAAGACAAGGGACCAGAGGCTATTGANGGGGAACCTTCTTTCACAAACAAAAAGGTTCGATTACCTTCAAGTATTTAAATATTAAAATTCTTTGGAACACCTCCGTGGAACAAATTCCATTCCTTCCGGTTTCTTCATTTAATAAAATCTTACCCCCTTCAAGTCACCATCGTCTTAAGGAGCATCATCCGAAGATCCTCAGTAAAGACAAGGGACCAGAGGCTATTGATCGAAGGCAATTGACTAGAGGCTAAGGATAACCCTGAGGCATTACCCGAAGCATCATCTGGAGACCATCTTCCAGTTCATCAAATTATATATATTCTAATTCTTAATTACAGCTACCGTGAGTTAATTCAAATTGACCATTATTATTTCATTGTTCTTTCTTGTGGATTTGCGAATCAAATAATTCTTTATTTTTCACTATGTCTGTAGAGACATTAGTATCGATTTCTTCGGATTAATTTCAATTATGTTCAATGTCTGATAATAATTATAAAATGTATAATTAACATCAAATACTGTTGTCAAATGAATAGACTTTCTGTCGTAACTATTATTATCATATTCAAGGAAATTCTTGATTGTATTTCCATTATTTCTATTAATTAGAATCATTGTGCTTGAATGAGACATTCCATTCAGGAATTGAAACCTTGTATAATTATTACTCCGTGTGAAAGGGAAAATCTCACCCTCATTAATACTTTGAATTCTTTAACTTCAGAAGTAAACTTTCCAATAATCAATGATTGTTGATCAATCAAATTCAATTTATTTTGTAAAATCTCATTCAAGGTCAGAGTCAAGTCCTCAATGATTAAGGCCCGGTTGGAGAGATTTTTGTCCCGAGTGGCGATTTTACGCCCCCCCCCCCC